CCTGTTGCAGCGTTGGTTGATTAGCGTAATACTGCCGAGCCCGGTTGCTACGGGCAAGGAAGCCCTGCACATCTCGCGACCTCATCTCCTCCGACTGTCATCGTACTTCATCCGCGTAGGACGTCGAGTAGGACGTTTCGCAATCCTTCATCTTCCAAATTACCAAATACCTCCATCCGCGCCATCCCCGCGCTGCCCTGTGCGTAGAAAATCGCTGCGATGACGCACCACCTCTACTGATAGTCCCTGGAGTACTGGCGTGGCCTCCTTGAGCCGCGTTCCCGTTTGGGCTCTGCCCTGCTTCCGCCTCTTGGATCCCACTTCGACGGGAACCTGGCGGCTGCATGGACGGCTCAGCGTCGCGAGTGCGAGCCGCCGCGTTGGCCGTAGCCGTGGCGCATGCCATCGCCGTATGCCGGCAAACCTCCTCACCGCTTCAGGAGTTTGTCCCGACTGTTTCACGCCGGTGCGTTTCGGTCATTCAAAGTCATCACCTGGCACGTACGCAACCTATCCGATCGATTGCGGGATACCGACGACGCTCCGCCAGTCTCTACGTGCGCGGCGCCCGTCCGGCCCTTCCGTCAGTTGACCGCCCTCCATCGCCGTCGTCGGCACATAACACGTCCGCCCGTCCGATATGGATCATCTCGGGTGACCGCTGACTGTAGTCGTCCCTGGCCGCCCTACGGCGTAACCGTGGTCAGCGGCCTCGAGCTCTGGGGATCGATGCCCGAGGCGCACAGTCACCGTGGCACGCGCGGTGGTCTCGACCACGCAGTCGGCTTAGGGCAACCACACGGCCTGGACCAGACCGTTTACTGTGAAATCTCACGCCTGTCTGAACGTATCGCGCTGTAAGGCGGCGCTTATTATCATCGAGTTCCCGTGTGCGGCCTGAGGCATCAGCACTTCCCGCGGCGGCAAAAACACCGCATCATCAGTCGCATGACCATTGGCTTCGCGGGTTACCGAAGCTGGGGACATCCAGTGGGACGAGGTGGACGCGTATACCTCTACGCCTGGAGCAGTAACTCGGGAGATACTTCTCTGCGTACCTCGCAGCGTGTCACTACTCCGAAGCAGTAAATTCTTACCACCACGCCTATAACAACCGCCTCATCCGCGAAGGCGCCAAACTCGTCAGCAACGTCAACGACTTCTGGTGAGATTGTGCCTGGAACCTCGTAACGGCTGATCACCCTGGATCTCTCTCCGCAACGGCACCCTCTCAATGCCTCCCGCGCCAAAACTGGTGAGAATGGTCGCGGGCAACGACGCGCGCGCGCATTCCCATGATCCGAGTGAATGTGAGCCGGAAGACCGCGCCGGAACTCCCCGATGCTGACGATAGCCGAACTGCTGCGCACACATCGTAACGACCCGGTGCACATTGACGACCCTGGCAACTCTGAGTCCGTCGTCCAATAGCCAAGTCAGAGCGGACTGCTCACCATGCTGGAACTCAAAAAAGGTCTGGTCAGACAAGTTGGGACTCTGCCTACCACTGGTCACCTGAACTGGAGACGACTCTTCCTATCGCCGCCTAAGACAGGAACCTCGGCAAAAACCACGAGGACATCCGGCAAGCCCCGCAGCGGCGGTCAGTCGCGCCGGTCCACCACGTCGCCCGGCAAGTCCGGTTCACCGCAGTCGGCCGCCGAAGGATCGACGCGTCGCAGCACGCGCATGCCTTCTTCCAAGGGCAAGCGCCTCGTCGTAGTGGAATCGCCGGCCAAGGCCCGTACCGTTGGACAAATCCTGGGCAACAAGTACCTGGTGACCGCCTCGATGGGACACGTCCGGGACTTGCCCAAGTCCACCCTCGGTGTCAACACTGAGGAGGATTTTTCGCCCAAGTACCTCACCATGAAAGACAAGCGAGACTTGGTGAAGGATCTCAAGGCGGCCGGAGCCAATGCTTCGGACATCTTTCTTGCGACCGACCCGGACCGCGAGGGCGAAGCCATCTCCTGGCACCTCCAGGCCGCCGCCGGATGGGACAAGTTCGAGAAGCCCCCCAAACGCGTGGTCTTCCACGAGATCACCAAACAGGCGGTCGAGGAAGCCTTCGAGCATCCCCGCGAAATCGACATGCAGTTGGTCAACGCCCAGCAGGCCCGCCGCATCCTGGACCGCCTGGTCGGTTACGAGATCAGCCCGCTGCTCTGGCTGAAGGTCAAGCTCGGTTTGTCGGCGGGACGAGTCCAGTCCGTCACCCTCCGCATGATCGTCGACCGCGAACGCGAAATCGGCGCGTTCGTCCCGCAGGAATGGTGGTCCCTGGAAGCGGAACTCCACAAAGATACCGACCCCAGCATCCCATCCAACCTGTTCACCGCGACGCTCCATTCGCGGAAAGGCTCCCGCAAACTGAACATCAACGACGAGACCACGGCCCGCGGCCTGGAAGCCGAACTGAAGGGCGCCGCCTATTCGGTGGACACTGTGGAAAAGAAGCCGCGTCGCCAACGGCCCGCGCCTCCCTTCATAACCAGCACCCTCCAGCAGGACGCCGGCCGCAAGCTTCGGTTCACCGCCCAACGCACCATGGCCCTGGCCCAGCAGCTCTACGAGGGTTTGAACGTCGGCAGCGAGGGTTCCGTCGGCCTCATCACCTATATGAGAACCGATAGCGTGAACGTCGCCGATACCGCCGTGCGCGAAACCCGCGACTACATCCGCCAGCGGTTCGGCAAGGACTACACCCCCGACAAGCCGAGGGCCTATCGCACTCGGAGCAAGAACGCCCAGGAAGCCCACGAGGCAATTCGTCCCACGTCGGTGGGACGCACGCCCCAGGCCATGGCCACCTTCCTGGACCGCGATCAACTGCGCCTGTATACCCTGATCTGGGAACGCATGGTCGCCAGCCAGATGGCCGACGCCGTGCTTGAAGCAACCACGGTGGAAATCGACGCCCGTTGCGCTTCGTCCTCGGACAGCGTGTTCCGTTTCCGCGCCACGGGCTCGGTCCTCAAGTTCCTCGGCTTCCGCGCTGTATACCTGGAGGGACGCGACGACACCGCCGAAAACAGTGAAAACGCGCTCCCCGAATTGGCCGCCGGCGACGGTCTGGCCAACCAGAAACTCGAAGCCAGCCAGCACTTCACTCAGCCGCCCCCGAAGTTCACCGAGGCCACTCTCATCCGGGAGATGGAGGAAAAGGGCATCGGACGCCCCAGCACCTACGCGCCGACCATTGCCACCCTGGTCGAAAGGGAATATGTCCTGCGCGAGCAGCGCCGGCTCTCTCCCACCGAATTGGGCTGCACGGTCACCGACCTCCTCACCGAGCGTTTCGCCGACGTGATGGCGCCGGAGTTCACCGCCAAGATGGAAGAGGATCTGGACAGCGTGGCGCAGGGCGAGCAGGACTGGGTCCCCATGCTCCGCGACTTCTACGAACCGTTCCACCAGGCGGTCAATCTCGCCGAGCAGGCCTTCACGCCATCATGCGAAAAATGCGGCCAGCCCATGACCATGATGATGGGCCGCTTCGGGAGATTCCTGGCCTGCAGCGGCTATCCTGAATGCCAGAACACCCGCAATATGCGCGACACTGCGGAGCGCCCGCCCGACGAGCCCACCGACGAAATCTGCGAAAAGTGCGAGCGGCCCATGGTCATCAAGACCGGACGGTACGGTCGCTTCCTGGCCTGCACCGGATACAACGCCGATGACAACCCGTGCGACAACCGTCGCAACATCGTCACCAAGAGCGACGTGCCGTGCCCGAAATGCGGCGGCGACCTCGTGCAACGCCGCGCCCGGAAGTCCGGTCGCCCCTTCTGGGGATGCGCCAACTATCCGGAATGCGAATTCCTGGTGAACACCGAGCCGCTGCCGGAACCTTGCCCCGATTGCGGCGGTATGCTGATCACGGCTGCCCGCGGCCGCGCCCGATGCAGCGATTGCAAATGGAAAGGCGATCAACCCACGACTACCCCCGCCGAAGATGCGGCGGCGGCCACTCCGGAGTTGGCTGGCGTTGGCGATTAGTCCAGCAGAATCCTCTTCCCGATCGGTCGATGCGAAGACTTGCTCCCCGGCCGCATCCGATCAGTTGGAGCGCTATTCCCTCTACCTGACCGGCCAGCGCGCTCTGTCCGACAATACCCGCCGCATATACCTCGACGATCTCCACACCTTCCTGGACTATTGCCGACGGAACGGGCACGGTCTGCAAGACATGGACCGCCAGTTGCTGCGCGGCTACGTTGCCTTCCTCGCCACGGTCGGCAGATCGGACGGCGCGCGACCTGCGGGGTACGCCCGAGTCAGCATCGTCCGCAAACTCACCGCGCTCCGGACTTTCTACAACTTCCTCGTCCAGGAGGGCTGGTTCCAGTCCACACCGGTACCGTCGGCCCGCTCTTTCCCCGTCAAGGTGGAAAAACCGCTGCCCAGCTTCTTGGGTAAGCAGGAAGCCACCCGGCTACTTGCCGCCCCCGACGACGATAACCCGGCCGGGCTCAGGGACCGCGCGATACTGGAAGTCCTTTACGCCTGCGGCGTTAGACTTGCAGAATTGCAGGGCATGGATTTGGGGGACGTTTACCACGACCGCCGGGAAATTCTGGTCCGTGGCAAGGGCGATAAAGAACGGTGGACCCTGTACGGCACCCCCGCGGAGGAAGCGCTGGACCGTTACCTCGAAGACGGCCGGCCTCATTTTGCCGCCACCAGCGACCACGGCGACCCATTATTCGTCAATCGTTATGGTGCCCGCCTCTCCCGCCGGAGCATCGAGAAGATCGTCCGCGACTACGCGGCCCGCGCCGGCCTCAAGGAAGGCATCCACACCCACACCCTGCGTCACAGCTTCGCCAGCCACATGCTCGAGGGCGACGCCGACCTCCGCGTGATCCAGGAACTCCTGGGGCACAGCAGCGTTTCCACCACCCAGCTGTACACCCACATCACCAAGCAAGAAGCCCGCCGCGCCTACATGGACTTCCACCCCTTGGCCGCTTCCTCGGAACCCGAAACACCCGTCGAAGACGACGCCACGCCTGAAGAATGACCTCAATCCTAGTCCTTCATGGGCCCAACCTTAACGCCCTGGGTCGACGGGACCGTCATCACTACGGCGTGCTCACCTTGGACGAAATCAATCGCCGCATTTCCGAACGCGCGCACGCGTTGGGCGTTGACATCGAATGTTTCCAGTCCAACCACGAGGGTGCTTTGGTCGACAAGCTCCAGGAGGGTGCCGGCTCAATAGACGGCGTGGTGATCAACGCGGGTGCGCTGACCCATTACGGCCTGTCCCTAAAAGACGCTCTAACCGACGCCGGCGTCCCCGTGGTCGAGGTGCACCTCAGCAACATCCACGCCCGCGAGGAATGGCGCCGCCATTCGGTGTTGGCCGACACCGCGCTCGCCCAAATTGCCGGGCTCGGTTGGAGAGGCTATACTGCTGCATTGGAAGCGTTGGCAGGCATCATCGGCGACGAGACTGGCTAGCGTCCGTCAATCGCGGTCGACGAACCGCCCGGGGGATTTCTGACATGAGCATCAACTTTGGCGACCTCAACAAGGGCATGGTGATCGATCTCGAAAACCAGCCGTGGCAGGTCATGGATTACGAGCGTCACAAGATGCAGCAGCGGGCGCCCGTGACCCGTATCAAGATGCGGAACCTCATCAGCGGCACCGTCATCGAGCGCACGTTCCAGCGTTACGACACCGCGTTCAGCCTGGCCGAGGTCGACAACCGCGAAACTCAGTACCTGTACACCGACGGAACCAACTACTTCTTCATGGACCAGGAGACTTTCGATCAGCACGAACTTACCGCGGACCAGTTGGGAAACGCGTTGGGCTATCTGACCGAAAGCATGATGGTCGAGTTGGTGCTCTACAAGGGCAGTCCGATCAACGTGAACCTTCCGATCCACGTCGAGTTGAAAGTGGTCGACACGCCACCCGCTTTCAGGGGCGACACCGCGCAGGGCGGTAACAAACCGGCAACCCTGGAAACCGGACTGCGCATCACCGTTCCGATGTTCATCACCCCCGGCACCCGCGTCAAGGTGGATACGCGTAACGGTACCTACTCCGAACGCGTGTCGTAGCCCGTCGCCTCCGGTTTCGCCCCATGCTGTCGCCGATAGTTCACTCGGTCAGCCAGGTGGCCGTCTATCTCAAGGACAAACTTGAGTCGGACGGCCTCCTTTCTCGCCTGACCGTCCAGGGCGAAATCGCCAACCTCCGCACCGTCGCGTCCGGTCACTCCTATTTCACCTTGCGCGAGGACGGCAGCAGCATCCGTTGCGTGATGTTCCGTGGCCGCGCGGGCCAGGAGTACCTGGAGGACGGTCAGGAGATCCTGGCCGGCGGTAATTTCACGTTCTACCCGCCGTCGGGCGAAGCCAACATGCAGGTCGCCGCTGTGCTGCCAGTCGGCGCCGGCGCCCTCGCCCTGGAGTTGGCTCGCCTCCGGCAGCAATTAGCCGCCGAGGGCTTGTTCGACCCTTCGCGTAAGCGACCCGTGCCCGTGTTCCCGCGGGTGATCGGCGTGGTCACGTCACCCAGCGGGGCAGTCTGGCAGGACATCCAGAACGTTGTGTTGCGGCGTTACCCACTGGCAGAGTTGCGCCTGTCCCCCACCGCCGTCCAGGGTGATATTGCCTCCGAACAAATCGCTGCGGCCGTCAGGTCACTCAACGATGAGGGTGTCGCCGACGTCATCATCGTCGCTCGCGGCGGTGGATCCCTTGAAGATCTGTGGTGTTTCAACTCCGAAGAAGTCGCCCGGGCCATCTTTGCCAGCGGTATCCCGATTGTTTCCGGTGTTGGCCATGAGACCGACACGACCATCGCGGATGATGTCGCAGACAGGCGTGCTCCCACCCCTTCGGCGGCTGCGGAACTGGCGACGCCGGACCGCAACCAGCTTATGGTGGATATCTACGGCGCTCGCCAGCAAATGACTTCGCTGATGGCTGGCCACGTTGACCGTCTGCGGTCATCGGTGCTCTCCCAGCAGCAACGCCTCCAGCGGCGCGTCCCCGACGTTGCCTCTCTGCGCCGACGCGTCGACGAGTACGCGGAACGCGCGACCTCGTCGATCCGCCATCGCCACGCTCTGACCGGACGGGACGTCGCATCCTTGGCGAGCAAGCTGGGCGCGTTGAACCCGGCCGACACCTTGCGCCGCGGTTATGCGGTCGTCCGGTTATCCGAGGATGGTTCCGTTCTAACGTCGCCCGACCAGGCAACTGACGGCGTCCGTCTGGACATCTCCCTCGCCAACGGCGCGCTTTCGGCCACCGCCGGCCATCCACCCCGGTCACCTTCCTCCGACGATGCTCCCATTCACACGCAGGTGAGCCCCGTCGCCAGCGATGGCGTCGCGTCCCCAACGCCGCGCAAACGCGGCAGCCGCCGCTCCCCCGGGCCACCGCCGGCGATGAAGCCGCTGCTCTAACCGCCGCCTCGAGCCATGACTGACACCACGGAACCCAGCGACGCCTGGCGGGCGCAACTCGCTGCGATGCCCTTTGAAGAGGTGTATCGCCGGCTGGAGGATACGGTAGCCCGCCTCGAGCAAGGGGAGCTATCGTTGACCGACGCGGAGCGGCTTTACCAGGAAGGCATGGAACTGGCCGGCCGGTGCCAGGATCTGCTCACCGAAACCGAGTTGCGCATCACCCAGATTGGGGACGGTCGCGCCGCCGCATCAACAAGTCCGGGGTTGCCGGCCGGCAACGACGACTGGGATCCGCCGCCCCCGTTGGAACCGGATGATCCGTCCCTTTTTGACGATGATGACCCGCCATTCTGACCTCCAGCATCGTGCTGGAGTGGCACAATGCTGCGCATAGGCTGGTTTTCCACCGGCCGTGGCGAAGGTTCGCGCGGCCTGCTTCAGTTCATCCAAGAAGCGATCTCCCGGGGCGATTTAAACGCTCGGATCGAGTTCGTGTTCAGCAATCGTGAACCGGGTGAGGCTGACGGTTCCGACCAGTTTTTCGAGCTGGTGCGCTCCTACCGCCTCCCGCTGGTTACCCTGTCATCCGGCCGCTACCGGCGCGAACACGGCGGCGGGTCCATGGCCCGCCATCGGCTCGGCTTTGATCAAAAGGTCATACGGCTCCTGGAACCCTACGAACCGGACATTTGCGCATTGGCGGGCTATATGCTCGTTTGCAGCGGAGAAATGTGCCGCCGCTATCCGCTCCTGAATCTTCACGGAGCTCTGCCCGATGGGCCGACGGGCACCTGGCAGTCAGTTATCTGGCAATTGATCGACGCCCGATCAACCCGGACCGGCGCGATGATCCACCTGGCCACCGAGGAGGTAGACCGGGGACCCGTATTGTCCCACTGCGTCGTTCCCATAGCCGGCAACGGCTTCGAGCAACACTGGGGGGCCCTGCGAGATCGCGATGCCAAGGACATCCGGGCCAATGAGGGTGAGGACTACCCATTGTTCCAACGCATCCGGGCAGCCGGGTATCTTCGCGAACCCTATCTGCTCCTGGAAACTCTCCGCGCCGTTTCCGACGGGAGGCTCCGCGTTCAACCCGAAATGGCACTCGACGCGTCAGGCAACCCTCTGGGGTCGAAGCACCCGGCCGGTTTGCCCTTCACCGACCGGATTGAGGCCGCTCTATCCGCGGGATGACGAGCTACGCCGATTTCCTTTGTTGGTTCGGCCGTGACCGCGCCAGCGCGGTTTTCAGCGTTAAGTGCCGGCCGCCGCCACGCCGGTAGAGCCTGGGCGACGCCTCCCCTGTGATTGCCTCACCGTGAACGACGCAGCGGCCGATATCGCCCAGCGACGGCAACTCGTACATCACTTCCATCAGCGTGTCCTCGACAATGTGTCGCAGGATTCGCGCTCCGGTCTGGTAGGTCAGCGCCCGCTCCGCAGCCGCTTCCAGCGCATCGCCGGTGAATTCCAGCTTGACGTCGTCCAAATCGAACAGACGTTGGTACTGCTTGACTATCGCGTTCTTTGGTTCGATAAGCACCCGGATCAAATCTTCGCGGTCCAAGGGCTGCAACGCCGCAACCACCGGAAGCCGACCTACCATCTCCGGAATGAACCCGAACTGCAGCAGATCCTCCGGAGAAACCAGATCGAACATCGCAACGGGATTCGCTTTTTTGTCGCCCCGCTCCTGGTTCTGTGCCAAGAAACCCATCGCGGAGCCGGACGATACCCTCTTGGAGATTATCTCGGGCAGACCGTCGAACGCCCCCCCGCAGATGAACAGGATGTTCTTGGTGTTGATCTGCAACATCTCCTGGTGCGGATGCTTCCGGCCTCCTTGTGGAGGCACGTTGGCGACACACCCTTCGATGATCTTGAGCAGTTCCTGCTGTACCCCTTCGCCCGCGACATCCCGCGTGATTGAACGGTTCACACCCTCTTTACGCGCGATCTTGTCCAGCTCGTCGATATATATGATGCCCTGCTCCGCCCGGGAGATGTCCCAATCCGCAGCCTGGATCAGCCGCAGCAGTATGTTCTCCACGTCCTCGCCCACGTACCCGGACTCCGTCAAGGAAGTGGCGTCGCAGATGGCAAACGGAACGTACAGGGATCTCGCCAATGTTTCGGCCAGCAGGGTTTTGCCGGAACCGGTGGGACCAATGAGCAGGATATTCGACTTTTGTACTTCGACGTCCGGGTCAGTCGCCTCGCTGCGAATGCGTTTGAAATGGTTGTAAACCGCAACCGCCAGCGTTTTCTTGGCTTTTTCCTGCCCGATGACATACGCGTCCAGGCTCGAATAGATTTCCCGGGGCACCAGCGTTCGGGACTCCGAGTCGCGTTGCGGTGGAGGTTTGTCCGCCAATTCAACCCGATCGTTTGCCCGGGGCTGGGCGCTGCCGCCTTCGTCGCGCTTTTTCTTGCCTCCGCGCTCGGCCACGTAGTTGGCCAACTCGCGGACGCAGTCAAAACAGATCCCGCCCCGTGTTTGGCCGGGCGGTCGGACCAAACGTCCTTGGGGGAACTGGCTGCCGCAAAACGCGCAACGATTAGAGTTGCGATTGGAATTGCGGCTACCGGTGGCCATGGTTACGTCCTCAGTCGAAGTGGGGTCGGGAATCGACCGTTACGCGGCCTCCGCGGTTTCCTCTTCTTCTTTCTTCGTCCCCAGTATTTCGTCGACCAGCCCGTACTCCACCGCTTCTTCGGCCGTCAGGAAGAAGTCCCGATCGGAGTCGTCGGCAATCCTTTCCACGGTCTGTCCCGTGGCTCCGGATAGGATCTTGGTGAGCCTTTCCTTCAGGCGAACGATCTCCCGGGCCTGGATCTCTATGTCCGCAGCCTGGCCTTGGAACGAGCCCACGTTGGGCTGATGCATGTGCACGGTCGAGTTGGCCAGGCAGTAACGCTTATCCTTGGCTCCATTCGCCAGCAGCACCGTCGCCATGCTCGCCGCCGTACCCACGCATATGGTCGACACCGGCGAGTTGATCAGTTGCATCGTGTCCAGGATCGCCAACCCCGACGCGATATATCCGCCCGGGCTGTTGATGTACAAACTGATGTCCCGGTCACTGGCCTCGCGCTCCAGGTACAACAACTGCGCGATGATCACATTTGCTACCTGGTCCGTGATCGGCGTTCCCAAGTAGATGATGCGCTCTCTCAGCAGCAGCGAGTAAATGTCAAAAGCCCGTTCGCCCCGGGGACTGGTCTCAATGACCATCGGCACGACATTCGTGGGTTGCAGCAGTGGAGAATCTTCGAAAGGAACGGCCATTGCGGTCTCCTGATGTTGGTTGCGAGCACCAGCCGACCGGGCTGCGCTCACGTTTCGGCGATTAGGCTACCAAGCGGTTGAAAGAATCGGGCAGCGTGTCCATCACGTGGTCCACGATACCGTATCCCACTGCGGTTTCCGCGTCCATCCAGTAGTCACGGTCGGAGTCGCGCGATACCTTATCGAAAGGTTGGTCGCAGTTGTCCGAGAGGATCGTGTTGAGACGCTGCCGCAGGCGCAGGATCTCCTGGGCAGTGATCTCGATGTCCGAGGCCGAGCCCTGGATCCCTCCCATTACCTGGTGGATCAGCACCGTCGAATTTCGCGTGCAGTACCGCTTGCCCTTCTTTCCGCCGGACAAAAGCACCGCGCCCATGCTGGCGGCTTTGCCCAGGCAGATCGTGGCCACGTCCGGCTTGATCAGCTGCATCGTGTCGTAAACCGCCATGCCGTCCAGCACGGAACCGCCCGGCGAGTTGATATACAGGCTGATGTCCTCGTCCGGATTCTCCCAACTCAGGTACAGCAACTGCGAGACGATCGCGTTCGATATTTCGTCGTCTACCGAAGTGCCCAGGTAAATGATCCGGGCCTGCAGCAGCAGCGAGTACGGGCTGAAGGCGCGTTCGCCCTCGGTAGTTGGCCGGATAATCCCCGGGATCACGTTGGTAGGTGTGATTATGTCCGAAGGATTGGAAGCTCTTGGCATCTGATGGTTCTCCTGGAATGATTGGCGGCTGAACGTCATGCTTGCTCCTCCGCCTGATCGCCCGCGGTGGCATTGCCATCGCTTTCTTCGGGGGTTTCGACAGGTTCTGCGGCATCCGATTCGGCGACCTGGTCTTCTTCGGCCCCCGAGGCGCTCGCTTGTGCTGCAACATCTTCGTCCAACTTGCCTTGGGCGATGTCCGTGAGTCGGTCCATGACCCGCTGGCTGTGCAGCCGGGATCGGATGTTATCGCGCGTTGAAGCCGAACCGAGAAACTCTCGCAGCGAGTCGAGGTGCGACCCTTCTTCCTCGTCGTCCGCTTTGTCCTCCAGGTGCCCTTCCTCCGCTTCGTCCGCTTCGCCCTCCAGGTACCCTTCCTCCGCTTCGTCTACTTCCTGCGCTTGTTCCCCTGCGGACAGCTCCAGCAGTCGGTCGGTTTCCGCTTGAACGTCCTCGTCGGTGATCTCGATCTCTTCCACTTCCGCCAGCTTGCGCATCACCAAGCCACTCACCAACCGGCGTTCCGCGTCTGGGCGCATACCGTCAAGGAATTCATCCGGCGACTTGCCCATGAAACGCAGGTAGGTCGGCAGGTCCAGGCCCTGCTGCCGCAGCATTCGCTCCCGGTCCGCCTGCATCGCTTCCAGTTCCCGCTCGTACAGGATGGACGACGCGTTGACCACGGCCACGTCACGCAGCGCATCGAGGCTCTTTTGCTCCAAATCGTTGCGCGCCGTACTCTCCGCCTGCGCCGTCAACGAATCGCGGATATTGGTTCGCAATGTTTCCAGGTCGTCAATCCCGTCGCCGATTGATCTGGCAAATTCATCGTCCAGTTCGGGCAACGACTTTTCCTTGACCGACAGCACCAAAACCTTGAACTCAATGTCCTTGCCCGCATACTGTTCGCGCGGATAATCTTCGGGAACGGTAACCGTGAACTCGCTTTCGTCTTCTTCCGACAGGCCCACCAGGTTGGGCGCAAAACCGGGGAACGGCAGCACATTCTCCTCAGCGGGAATGTACTCCACGTCTTCGTCCTCCACCACCGTTTCCTCGTCCAGGATCCCCAGGACGTTGAGGTTCAGGCGGTCGCCATACTCTGCCGCCCTTTCCACCGGTTCCCAAACCGCCTGTTCATTCCGAACACGGTCTAGGACCTCGTCGACCGCTTCCTCGGTGACCTCCACCGGCTCGGATTCCACCCGGATCTCGCGATAGTCACCCAGGTCTACTGTCGGTTCCAACGGCACTGTCGCCGTGAACGACACTGGTTCCAGTTCGGTGACTTCTATGCTGGGCTCCGCAAACGCCGAGACATCCTCGTCCTGCAGGACCTTGTCCAGCGTCTCCGGTACCATGAACTCCAGCGCTTCCTGGAGCAGTGCAGTGCGGCCCATCATGCTTTCCACGATGTGCCGCGGCGCCCGCCCGCGACGGAACCCTGGGATATTGAGGCGCGAAACTACTCGCCGGTACGAACGGTCGATGAACGGATTCTCATCCTCCGTGGCCAATTCCACCGTCAACGTGACCTCAATGGGTGATGAGTTATCCCTCGTGACCTTCACCGCCGATACGCTCCTGTGCTCAGTTGATTCTGCATAAAATAGCGGGCAGGGTGGTCGATACCGGCCTGTCCGCGAACGCAGCCGAGTATAGCATAGTCGCTCGTTTAGCGAAAAGACGGGCCGCCGGCCTGACGCACGCGCCCGGTCGCGACCGCCGCTCGCAAACCCAACCGCTGCCGGGGCAAAAGCGCACGACATTGGTTTGTCACAAATCGTTAATCCCGCCGCAACACCGCCGTAGTACGCTGGTATCCTGAATCTCTGCTTCGCTGTCCGTTCCCACCGGACGGCGTTCGAAATCGGCCCCTACGCGCGTACCCTCGCTCAAGGATTGGGTGGCACATGCTGACTCGCGACGTCTCGAAAAACCCTTTGCACGAACACCTGAACGCCGACGGGACGACCCGTCCCGTCTACCAGCCACTGATGAACAGCCTGAACGGCCTCGGCGTGCCGGAACTGCGGCAGCGTTGGCGCGACGCCAACGATAGCGCCGCGCTGGACGCGTTCACCTTTATGCTGGACCCTCGCGAGTTCCGCACCGTACCCGCCGATTGGCTGCCCAGGCTGATCCCGGGCGACGAATGGGATACGATCTCCCGGGGCGTTGCCCAGCGATTGAAAGCGATCAACCATTTCCTTTTCGATCTCTACTGCGGTGACCAGCAGGTCGTCCCACCTGACGTTATGTACTCTTGCCAGTATTACAACCCTGGGTTGCAGGACTTTCGCCCGGACGGCGACCTGTTTGTGCATATCTACGGCATCGATCTGGTCCACATGGGTGACGGTCGTTATGTCATCCTTGAAGACAACCTGCGCATCCCGTCCGGCATCGCCTACCAACTGAAGACCACCCAAATCGGTTTGGAGGTGTTGCCCGAACTGGCCGGCGGTTACGACATAGTTCCTTACGATATCCGGTCCGCTTACCTTGATATGCTCGCCTCCCTCTGCGGCACCGCCTCGCCAGTCTGTGTGTTGCTCACCGACAGCAAGTTCGGCTCTGCCTTTTTCGAGCACCGGTACTTGTCCGAGTTGCTGGGCATCCCTCTGGTGGAGGGCTCTGACCTCTACATCGGCCACAACGGCCGCGTGTGGGCCCGCTGCATGGACGGCGACTTCGAGGTCGACCTGATCTATCGCCGGGTGGAGGACCTCGAACTCTTCGTCCCCGGCATCACCGAAGCCTATTTGGACCACAAGGTCGTGCTCGTGAACGCCATGGGCACCGGCGCCGGCGACGACAAACTGGTGTTCCTGTGGGTTCCAGATATGATAAAAACCTACTTGGGAGAGGAGGCCATCCTGGAACAGGCGCAGAGCTACGATCTACGATCAGCCGCCAACCGCGAATATGTGCTGCGAAACCTGGACAGCCTGGTGCTCAAGACTCGGCAGGGCTACGGCGGCCTGGGGGTCTTTATCATGCCGGACCTGGACAAGGGCTACCGCAGCCGGCTGTCTCAACAGTTGATCGAACAACCCCAGGTCTTCATCGCCCAGGAGACCCTTGACTTCTCCCAACATCTTGTCTTTGACGAAACCAATGGCGAATTCGAGAAGCGCTACGTCGACCTGCGCGTGTTCGCGGTGCAAAACGCCCGGGGGGAGGTCACGGTTTTCCCCGGCGGACTCACCCGCGTATCCGAGGCGAACAGCCGGGTCACCAACAACTCGTCAGGAGGATCATGCAAACCGAGCTGGGTAGTTCGATAGCAGTCGAGCCGATCCTGGTGCATTACGCCTACGCGGCCCGGTACTCCTACACTGACATAGTGGTGCAAAACGACAATTTCCTCCGGCTCACGGCCTACGCCGACAACTACCAGACCCCCGGGCTTTGCAGCATGGCCACATTCCCGCAGGGCGGCCAGATCCAGTATCCGGACCGTCTGGGAAACTGGGTTCACCGCGTCAGGATTACGACGCCGCACCAGGAACTGATCATTGCCGCCACCGGAGAAGTCCGCCTGAACCACCACTATCCCGATGTGTCCGACCTCCCGCTTGGCGGCGCCGAGTACGGGATGGACGCCCAGGAGTTCCTGTCCGCATCTCGACTGGCCGACCCGACGAGCGTCGCCCTCGTCGCGCAGGAGGCTGCGGCCGGAGCGGGTACGCTGCTCGAATCCGTCACCAACGTCGTGCGATGGATCTACGCCAACGTCCGTTATGAACGCGGCCACACCTCGGTGAACACCACCGCCGCGGACGTTCTCGTGTCCATGCGCGGCGTCTGCCAGGACCAGGCCCATCTCTGCTTGGCCATGCTCCGCTCCCTTGGCATCCCCGCACGCTACGTCAGTGGCCTGTTAACCCGCCAGCCCGGCGAGACCCACGCCTGGATCGAGTTCTTGCACCCTTACCTCGGTTGGCTGGCCGCTGACCCTACCCGAGGCGTCGTGGTCAACCTTGGAACCGATTACCTGAAATTCGGCGTCGGCCGAGACTACTCCGAAGTCCCGCCCGTCTCCGGTTCGTTCATTTCACGCGGGAACGGGCACCTCGATTTCACCACCGCCGAGGTATTCTTCGACCGCGACACAGTTTCGGTGGACGACGCCCTGAACCTGCTGCATTCCAATGGCACGTCCTCGTAACCGCGTCCCAGTCTTGGCCCCAACCCGAACCGCTCAGAGGAGATGACCCGACGATGGTAGAACCCAGGTCAATTGCCTTCAACCCCGACCGTTGGCTCACCGACTCCAGGGTGTACAACCTCATCTGGATGGGCCGATGGCTGGAGCGCGCCGACAACATCGCCCGCGTCGTCAACTCCTTCGCCCGCGCGGCGGTGGAAAACGGCAGCGACATGCTGGCCCTCCAGCAGTCCCTTGGCAACGCGGCCGCCATACGGGGCATTGCAATCGATGACCCCTCTCATACGCTGGAAATGCTCCTGAAACGGGACTCGGTTTCCTCGATCTATCACAGCGTGGCCACGGCCCGTGGAAACGCAACCCACGTCGGCACCGTAGAACTGATCCGCGCCATGTCCGAGGCGGTCCTCACCCTTGAAGATGACAACGCCATGCCGCAGACGCCGTTGGACGCCCTGCTCCTGACCAATCAGCTGTTGGAGAGACTCAGCGCGGTGTACCGGGTCATCGACGACAATTGGTTCCACCAGGAACCCCTGTCCGAGGAAGAGGTTTACCGCCGCTTCGTACAGCAGTAATACGGCGTTGCCGACACGGAGACTTGAACGGCCGGAACCGCGCGGTTCCGGCCGTTTTTGCCTTGCCCCAATTGCGGTATACGGGTATGTCATGCCCTAATTATGTTCTACAGACATGTCATTGCGAGCGAAGCGCAGCAATCCCGTCGCCACAGCCCAGGCGCTCGCCGCAAGCGGTTGCATCGTACAGCGCCACCAGTGATATGTGGTTCCTGACGACGACCGAAAGCCGCTCCGCAGGCTCCTCCAAACCCGCCTCCCCGACCTCGACTATGGCATACTCAGCCGGCAAGCAATCGTCATGCGGATAATGATCGCGGAGGATCGAGATGAAAGCAGCGGTGATGGGAGCCGGCAGCATCGGCGGCTACTTCGGCGGTATGCTGGCTCGCGCCGGCCACGACGTAACGCTCATCGCTCGCGGTGACCACCTGGACGCAATCCGTCGCGGTGGCCTGATCATGCAGACCGAGGCGGGTGAGTTTACCGTGTCCTGTTCCGCCACCGCGGATCCGTCCGATGTCGGACCCGTGGATTTGGCCCTGCTCACCACCAAGACCTACCACAACGCCCACGCCGTTCCCGCGATGGCGCCCATGGTTGGACCCGATACCGCGATCCTGTGCCTGCAGAACGGCATCGATTCCTACGTCGCTTTGCAGCAGTCCTTTCCCAACGCCGCGGTCCTGCCCGGCGCCGCTTACATCGAGGCTGGCCGGTCCGGGCCCGGGGCTGTTACCCAGGCCGGAGACATCGTTCGTATCGTCACCGGAAGAATCCGGGGCAGCCATGCGACACACCAGGCCAAGGCGGCCGGAGTCTGCGCCGCCTTCCGCGATGCCGGCGTGGCGGCCGAAGCGTCGGACGACATCGCCGTCACGCTGTGGACCAAGTTCCTTTTTATCGCCACCATGGCCGGCGTAACGTCGCTGGCTCGCGAGTACCTGCGCGACCTGCTCCCTCGGCCCGAGTGGCACAAGATTGTGGTCGGCTGCATGTCCGAGATTGAACGTGCCGGCCGCGCCTCCGGGGTCGATCTAACCCCAACAATCGTCGCCGACACCCTGGACTACATGGAATCCGCCAAGGGCGCCATGAGCGCGTCCATGCACGCCGACCTGTTGGCCGGCCGGCCCTTGGAATTGGAAGCGCTCAACGGCGCGGTGGTCCGCGCCGGGGAAACCGCCGGCGTCCCGACACCGATCAACGACGTTATCTACGCCGCTCTCAAGCCCTACGCCGCCGGATTGCCGGCAGCATCCTGAACCGCCGTCGTCCTGCCTCCACCGACTCCCGATTCCGCTCGCGGCCAATCCCGAAACCAGGAGGGGCGACCCTGTGGTCGCCCCTCTCCCGTATCGCGCTATTTCGTGCCGACTGTCGTTCGCCGCTATTCTCTGGTTTCCATCGGCAGTCCCTGGTCATGGACCTCGAGAACGCATTCCGGGCACCTTTGTCGCTCTTCATGCCCGGTGGCGGGCCAGATGTCCTCACCTTTTACTCCGCACAGGAAGAACGGCTCGACCTCTTCGATGCCCAAGCTTTCCAGGTAGTGGGCCACGCCCTCCCGCCGGGGGTTGTCGAACCACCAAGGCGTAAGGGTTCGCGCCAGCGCATGGATTCCCTCTTTGAAATCATCCGAGTATTGTTCCAAGTCGTCCGGGATGTCCACCATCCAACGAGTGCCGGTGGGCCCACCTTCCCTGGTGGCTTGGAGCTTCCCTTCGCGCACATCCTTACGTATCACGTCCTGGGAGACGTTGAGAATCCGCGAAGCTTCCTGGATAGTTTACCCGGGCCATTCTGTACCTCCAGCCGCAGCAATCGTCAGGCGGCGATGCTTACTTCTACCATCAACCCCGTGCAGCGGCAAGTCGTAAAACCCCGGCGCTCGTCACCGCGCCGCCGCCATGGTCCTGGGGTCCTCCATCGTGTCGGCGAGCGATCCACCGGGTGGCACCATGGGGAACACATTGGTGTCCCGCTCAACCACAAACTCGATCAGGAACGGCCCGTCGTATGCCTTGGCCTCCTGCAACGCCGCCGCCACGTCCTCCTGGTGCTCCACGCGAAGCGCCGGGATGCCGTACGCATTGGCCAGTTTGACGTAGTCCGGCCCTGGCATCGGCACCTCTTTCAAGTGGCCGTCGAAGAACATCTCCTGCCATTGGCGCACCATGCCCAGGTACCCGTTGTTGAACAGCGCGATCTTGATGGGGAGCTTTTCCTCCACCGCCGTGATCAGTTCCTGGAGCGTCATCTGGAATCCGCCGTCTCCCGCCACCGACCACACCGTCGCCCCCGGCCGGCCCAACTGCGCGCCCAACGCCGCCGGCAACTCGAACCCCATCGCTCCCAATCCCCCGGAGGTCACGAAGGAGTTCGGCTGGTTCAGGAACAGGTACTGCGCTGCCCACATCTGGTGCTGCCCCACTCCGGTGACCACCACCGCGTCGTCGTCCGCCTGCACCATCGCGTTCATCTCGGTGAGAACCTGCTGGGGCAACAGCGCGTCGCTCTGCGGGGATCGCCAGCGACGGGTGCTGCGCCTTGAGTTCCGCTATGGTCCCCATCCAGTCCGGCCGGTCCACCTTTTGCACCAGCGGGGCCAGCGCTTTCAATATGGGCCTCGCGTCCCCGACCAGCGGCACTTCCGCCGGCACTATCCTCCCCACCTGGCTGGCTTCGATGTCCAGGTGCACGATCCGGGCGTGCGGGGCAAACCCCGACACTCTACCCGTCACCCGGTCGTCGAACCTCATCCCCAGTCCGATGACAACGTCCGCCTGGTCAACCACCATGTTGCACCAGTACATCCCGTGCATTCCCAGCATCCCCAGGCTCTGCGGATGGTTCCGCGGGAAACCACTCAACCCCAGCAGGGTGTTGATCACCGGAATGCCCGACCCTTCCACCAGCGCCAGCAACTCGTCGAACGCCCTGGAGTTTATGATCCCGTGCCCCGCAATTATCACCGGTCGTTCCGCCTGGTTCATGAGCTCAGCTGCCTTGCGGACGTTTTCCATCGTTTCGTCCGATAACGGCAACTCCGTGGCCGGCGGCGGGTCCGGGTATTCGAACTCGGCCTCTTCCAACTGGACATCCCGCGGCACGTCGATCAGCACCGGCCCCGGCCGCCCTTCCTGGGCCACGCGAAAAGCGTCCCGTATCGTCCGGGCCAGGTCCCCGGCCGACATTACGAGGTACGTGCGCTTCGTGCATACCGCGGCGATGCTGCAGATGTCGCACTCCTGGAATGCCTCGGTCCCCAACGCGGCCCGCGCCACCTGGCCCGTGATGGCCACCAACGGCACGCTGTCCGCCTTGGCTCCCATGATCCCGGTGATCAGGTTGGTCGCCCCCGGACCTGACGTGGCCACGCACACGCCCGGCTTGCCCGTCATCCTGGCATAGCCGTCCGCCGCGTGCGCGGCCGATTGCTCATGCCGGACCAGCACATGGCGCAGCTGCGGGTAGGACCATAGCGCGTCGTAGAACGGCAGTATCGCCCCGCCCGGGTGGCCGAAAAGCGCATCGACTCCCTCCCGCAGCAAGCTCTCGCAGATGATTTCCGAACCTTTCAGTTTCACGGCGTATCTCCATACAACGTCGTTCCGTCTGCCAGATCGCGCTGGTCCCAGACCGTGCTGGTTAAGGTTCGCTGCGACACAAAAAAAGCCCGTCCCATAGGGACGGACGTTTGCCCGCGGTACCACCCTATTTGCCCTCCACGTCCGGGGTCCGGGCGTTTAGGGCCTCTCTGGCAGGACACCATCATGTCCCGTCGCTTCTAACGGGCAACGACCCCGGCCTTAGCTTACTGACCGCCGAATTCAGGAAGCGGGTTTCAGCCGGCAGCTCCGGAGGGATTTTGGGCGGGACAACCGTGCCTGCTTTCACCGGCTCAGGCTCGCTACGACGCTCGCGTCCGCTTACTCGTCTCCATCTCAGCTTTTCAGGAAAAACTCTATCATGCACCCTTTCCGGGGTCAATCACGCGGGGTCGCCGGTTGTCCCGAATAGTTGGCATGCCCAATCCATCCCGCCGGCTGTCCCAGGCTAGAGACCGTCAACTGCCGCCAGGGCCGCCTGCAACTCCTCCAGCGTGGCAAACCCTTCAAACCGCTGCCGCACTATCCCCTCGCCGTCCAGCACGAAAACCCAGGATTCGTTGGTCCACCCGGGTATCTGCGTAAACCCCCACTCGTCGGCCGCCGGCACCAGTCGAGCCTTGCTCAGATCTCCCTGTATTTCTTCCGGGTTGTCGTACAGCTCCACGTGGATGTAGTTAGCAGAATCGGGGTGCTCGACCCGCAACTCCGACACCGTGTCCACCTGCGGGCCGCAGGTCGGGCTCGTGCAAAAGGCCGGCGTGGCAAACACCACCACCGACGGTTTGCCCGATGCCACGGCCTCAGCCACCGACATGCGGTAGAGCTCGGTATCCGGTTCATACGAGGTGGTCAAGTCGACAACTCCCGTGCCGTCGTCGAGCGTCTTGGTCTCGCTCGCCGGCGCTGCTTCGCCAACCGACGGAATTGGGGAGTCCGCCACCACCGAAACCTCGATCACCGTTTCGCCGGAAACCTCGCCGCCCACCGGCATAACCGTCATCCGGTAGTCCCCGGGCGCAGGGAACTCCACCGGGGCCGCATAAGACCCTCGTACCCCATACGGCCACGCGTTGTAGGGCGCGGTGATCTCCGCCGGCGGAGTTGACCCGTCCGCAGGCGCAACCGAAATTCGAACTTCCGGCGCTTTGACCAGCGCTTTTTTCGTATTCAGCAGGAACGCGACTCTCTGGGTGCCCACTTCCAGTACTTTGGTTGCCAAGTGCGATTCTATGGCGCCGTCTCCCGGGCTCGCCGTGGGCACCTCAATGACTCGAACCCTCGGGACTGCCGTGGGATCTGGCGCAGGTTCGGGCTCCGGCCGTCCGCAGGCGGCCATCGCCCATACCCCGACAACGACCACCACCAGGATCAGCGCGAAACGCATCACGGCCCCTCCGCGTAGACGCCGAAGGTGAACGCGAACAGGCCAAAGTCATCGGAGTCCGACCGCATCGTCAGTATCGACTGCGGCAGGTACTGCGGGTTGTCGATGATCCCGTACATCCTCGGCTCGTCCACCATGATGTAAGAGTACCCATTCTCGTCCCACTGGACGTCCGCACCTGCATTCTCTTCGGACAGCATCGCCCCGTCCGCCGTGACAACCACGCGGTATGCCTCGCCCGAATCCGAGGTCAGCACGGCGTTGACGCTCTTGGCGGCGTAATTCAACGCCAGATAGTCCTCGAGGTTTTCGGTCTCGCGCGCGTGTCGTATCCGCTCCGGCTCAACCGACCACTGGCCCTGGAAGTAGAGCAGGTCTGGTTGCAGGTCCTGTGGCACTTCGACGTCGATCAGGCCTTCTCCGCCGGCAAGGATGGAATCGAAGTATTCTTCAAACTGCGCCACGTAGGGATGACTGCCGGACCGCGCCACGCCTACGTTCCGTTCCCATCCCGCATACAGTTCGCGCGTTATCCGACCTCGTCCGCCGACGCGCGATGCCTGGAACGCCGGGTCCCGCACCTGATCCTCCGGCAACATGAGTGGATCGTCGGACAGATCCGCGCCGGCTTCCACCAGGGCGTTGCGAATCTTCTGCTCCGTTTCTCCGTATGCCCCTTCGCCGAAGTGCGAGTAGATCATCTCGCCGTGGCTGTTGAACAGGTACTTCGCCGGCCAAAATCGGTTTTCAAAGTTCCGCCACGTGACCATGTCGTTGTCCTGCGCTACCGGCCATCCGATATCATGGGTCTCCAGCGCCTCCGACACGTTTTCGTGGTCCTTCTCAAACTCGAACTCAGGGGTATGGATGCCCAGGATCACCAGCCCGTCGTCTTCGTATTGCGACCACCAATCCCGCAGGAATGGCAGCGTGCGGATGCAGTTGACGCAGGTGTAGGTCCAGAAATCGACCAGGACCACGTTCCCGTCGGCAACCAGTCCTTCAACGGACAGCGCTTCGTCCGTGTTCAGCCAGGCGTCGATCCCGGCCACGTTGGGGATGTCCTGGACTATCGGCCGCGCTTTCGCCTCTGCCGCCGGCATCGACGTCGGTTCACCCGTGGCCGGCATCGCTTCGGTCGGTGTGGTCGTGGCCGGCTCGGTCGGCATTGTGTTGGGCTGAGCGGCTGCCGTGGAACCTTCGGAAGCCGGCGCGGCTGTAGCATCCGCGCTCGCGGCCGGCGTGGCTTCAGATTCCTCTACCGGGGCGGCGCTCTGCCCACATGCCGCGACGGCCAACGCGAGAATCATCGCCAGGAGCATCACGCTCCCAGCTTTCAGAGTTGAACGGGTCATCACATCTCTCTCTTTGTGCGTGCCTGCGGTGAGTATAATCCCTGGCAGTACCGTGTATGTGGGTGCATGACGCACCCGACTCGACGATGATCGTCGCCCGTCGCTCTGGCCTTGGCGTCCATCCGATACTGCGGCGGCGGCGAACGCCTGGCAGAACCGACGATAAGTTTTTTCAGCAGCCGAGCCTGACGAACGCGCGGTGAGCAATCGGTGTTGTGTGTTACTATACGGCAGTTAGCACCCGGCGGATTGAAACCGCCGTCAGGAGGATATTTTCATGGCAACGATGATTGATGGTGAGTCTTATCTGGGCCGCGTGATGGTTCGCCCGCTGAGCAAGTCCGGCGACGTCACACTGTACCTCTGGCCCCTGCGCTGCTTGAAGGCCAAGTTCGGCGGCCCCACTTTCGGTGTGGACGTAAACGGTGAGGAGATCGTCCGGTTCGACCCGCACGGCGCTCGCGGCCACTGGCACAAGGGCGGCTACGACAAGCTCGGCGCCGGCGGCTCACATGTCGAATTTCCCGAGGATGTCCGGGACAGCCGACCCCAGGTCGAATGGTCGTTGGCCCAGTTGCGGGACCAGACCGGCAGCTACCTGGCCGAAGCCGGATACGCGGACGCCGCCGCCAACCTCGACCCCGAACTCATCCAGGCCGCCACCGACGCCATCCTCGCCCACCTGGAGAGCGAAGGCGACCTGATTCCGGAAGCCATCTCCAAGGACCTCATCGCCGCATAGTTCCCTGTACGGCGCGGGTCTTCCAATCAACAGGGGCGGGTCAATGACCCGCCCCTCGTCATTTCACCTTGTTGTTCGGTGCCGATCACGGCGTGATTCTGGTCCCCACCGGCCTTCCGTTCACGCAGTTCATCACCGCTCCGGGCTCCCTCCCGTCCACGATGTGAGCGATGGGAACCGCCTCATCAGCCAGGGCGTCCAAGCACGCCGCCAGCTTGGGCAGCATCCCGCCTCGTGCCACTCCCGATGCCCTCAGCGCCTCCGCTCCCCGTGAATCCAGGCGTGGAATCACCCGACCGCCATTGTCCATCACGCCGGCCACGTCGGTCAGGAAAATGATCCGTTCCGCCCGCAGCGCATGCGCCAACGCTCCCGCCGCCGTGTCGCCATTCACGTTCAGCGGCTTGCCCGCGTGCTCGCTGTCCGGGCTAACATCCACCGCGATGGGCGACACCATCGGGATGAACCCCGCCGATACTATCGCTCGCACCGGTGCCGGCTCGACCGCTGTAACCTCGCCCACGTAACCCAGGTCAGGATTGGCAACATGGGCTTGCAGCAGGTGCCCGTCCATGCCGCTGATCCCGATGGTTGGCGCACCCAACTGCTGCATCTGCGCGGTCAATTCCTTGTTCACCAGCCCGCCCAGTACCGCCACCACGATTTCCAGCGACGGCCCATCAGTAACCCGCAACCCGTTCACGAAGTTCGGGGCCAGGTTCTGCCGCTGCATCCACGCACTGATCACGTTCCCGCCCCCGTGGACGATCACCACCGGTTTTCCGGCGGCGTGCAACGCGACCAGGTCTTGCAATGACGTATCGTTCCCGCCCAGGGTGCTGCCGCCGATCTTGACCACGATGGGCGGCTCCGCGAACTGTTGTGACACGTCGGCGTTCCTCACCCTGCGGCGTCGGCGAATGGAATCGGGACGGACCGCGGCCACTGCCGGGCCAATCGCGCGGTTTCTGACTACGTGGTGTACGCGCTGTTAATGATGACGTACTGCTCGGTCAGGTCGCAGCCATAAGCGGTGGCCGCGCCATCCGCCAAGTTCAGGCTAACTCGGAAGTCCACCTGCTCGCCGGACATCAGGGCCACCACGGCATCCCGGTGGAACGGTATCGGTGTCCCTGCTTCCATGATGCAAACCCCGTTCACAAACAGGTCGACCTTTTCCTCCATCGCCTCGGCCCCGCTGCGGCCCAGAGCCATCATCAGCCGGCCCCAGTTGGGGTCGGCACCGTACACCGCCGACTTCACCAGCGGGCTCCCGGCGATGGTCAGCGCCGCCTTGCGCGCATCAATCGCATCCTTGGCTCCGTCCACCTGAACGGTAAGCAGACGTGTCGCGCCCTCGCCGTCACGGGCGAGCATCCGGGTCAGGTTGGCGCACACCTGGTGCAGCGCGCTGGTGAATGCTGCGGCGTCCGGCGACCGGTCGTTTATCACGGGGTTGCCCGCTTGACCGTTGGCGAATGCCAAGAAGGTATCGTTGGTGCTGCTGTCCCCGTCCACGGTGAGCATGTTGTAGGTCTCGTCGGCGATGGCCTTGACCGTCGTCTGCAGGAACCCCGGGTCGACCGCGGCGTCGGTGGCCGCGAATGAAAGCATCGTCGCCATGTTGGGGTGGATCATGCCCGAGCCTTTGGCGACGCCCCCGATGGTGATCGTCTGCCCCGTGGACGCCGTGAAGGACACCGCGGCTTCCTTCGGGTGGGTGTCCGTGGTCATCATCGCCCGCGCCAACTCGGGCCCGCCGTCGGCATCCAGCGCAATCTCGGCAACCCCGGAGCGGATCAGTGACATGGGCAGTTCAACACCGATAACGCCGGTGCTGCAAACCAGCACGTCCTCAGCGGTCAAGCCCAACTTGTCCGCCGCCAACCGCGTCATCTCCTCGGCGTCCTTGTAACCCTGCGCCCCCACGCACGTATTGGCGATACCGGCGTTCACGATCAGCGCGCGCGCCTGCCCCCGTGCCACCCGTGCCCGGTCCAGGTCAACCGTCGCCGACCGTATGGCCGAAGTCGTGAAGACACCGCCGATGGAGCATGGCGTGTCGGATACGAGCATGGCAAGGTCCAGCTTGTCCTCGCCTCGCGTTTTGAGGCCGATGAACACGCCGCCGGCGGAAAACCCCTGCGGCGAAGTAATGTTACCGTTCGGAATGGCGTTGATTTCTGCGCTGGCGGGCATCTTTAAACGCTCCTACGGGCCGACAAAATTAGGCGAAATTGCCGCATAAATATACCATAGGAAGGCGATGCGCCGTCCTAAAATTACGGAACTAACCCTCGCAAAGATCGGTGCGGCGGAGCAAATCCACATGGGACCGACGAACATCTGAACGCTCGACGGTGGTGTAAATCCGTCCCCTGGTTCCATCAATGATCTCTGGATCGGCAAAGTCCCGTTGAAGTGCCCGATCATTTGTGAACAAAAGCCGTGCGCCGCTCGTATGGGCTAGCGCTAGAACGTGCACATCATTGGACCGGCAAGTCGATGCGGCGCGAATGGCCTCCTCAGCGGCACTCACGTCGCCGTCAGGGATCCTTCGCGCCCGCCCCGCTTGCAATCTATCAGTGAAAAACCGTACGAACTTAGGATTTTGCGACAACTCGCGAAATAGACGACCGCCAACTACGACGACGCCACCGTTCCCGCGACCCAGCCAACGGAGAAAGTAAAGACCGGCTTCAGTCGGTCGGTCTCCGAACAGCTGATGTACGACATCATTGTCGATGATGGCGCACATCTATAATCCGATGGACCTCATCATCTCATCTGTGAAGAACTGACGGTAACCTTGCGGGGCATCCACCACGTTACCCATCTCGTCCAACCGGATGGAATGGATCTTCACGTCCAGGTCCCCAGGTTCAAAGTACAGAATGGACACATCCTCAGGTTTTAGGCCGGTGGTCTGGTCCCGAACATCCATCCGCACTCGGTCAATGATGTTGTCGCTGTGCGTCTCGACCAGCAACTGCCGCCCTCCGGCAGCAACCTTGCAAAACAATGTTCCCAAAGCCGCCTGCGCCTGTGGGTGAAGGTGCACCTCCGGCTGCTGCAAGAGGAACATCGTAGGAGGTTCGGGACGCAACAGTTCGGTTAACATCGGCAGCGCCTGACTCACGCCGTAACCTACGTCAATCACATTGTGCCAAGGGCCTTTGCGCCTCCTCGACTTAGGACCACTGTGTTTACGAACCTGAATTTGGAACGGGTCTCCGTCCGATCTTCCAAACGACCTGATCCGGATCTCGTCAAACAATTCTGACTGGGAGCCGAACTGTTCGAGGCCAGTCTTCAGGGATTGCCATTCATCTCCAGCCTGACGAGACAGGTTCGCCAGATAACTGGGGATGTAGACTCCTTCGGGATCGCCCCTCAGGACCGCCGGATCGTACGTTCGTCGAGGGCGAGAACGTGTGGGCGCGGCAGCAATAAGTCGCGGGGCAGATTCTGCTATGGCGTCCATAATATCGAAGAACCTGTCTACATGCTGGTTATCCGTGCCGAACATTCGCCGCAGCATTGGGTTAAGGAAGGCCAGAGGCACAAACCCTGAGCTATGGGTCGCTGCCATCTCATTACCTGGATCTGGCCACGTGATTTCGCCAGTACGAAGCCGGACCTGTACCCCCCCGTCTCGGCTTTCGGTGGCCCGTAACTCTACCATCACGCCATCAGAGCAAAAGGTTCGCACATTCGGATACGGTGCTGTTTGCCAGTTTTCGAAATTTGCCGCGAACCCGATGGTGTCTTCAAGCGAACCAAGGTAAATACCGGATCGGAATTCGCCTCGAAAAAAACGGGTCTCGTTTGTCAGTGTCCTACTACCGTTGGAAACAATATCCTCAAACGACCCCAAATCGTAGGGCTCTTCCCGGAAATTCGGCACCACTTCACGGAACGCTACGTCCCACAGCGCCCGTATCAGCGCCAGAAACGACGTCTTGCCCGTGCTGTTCGGACCCACCAGCAGCGTCACGGCGCCAGCCGCGCCGTCTGCTCTTCGCTCCCGAAGCACCGGTAATTTTGCAGCGTTATGCTGTCCATGTCCCCAAGTGTAGCACCACCGGTCTGATCCTCGTTTGACTCTCCCCTACCCCCGCCCGATAATGCCGCATCCTGCAGGAGCCCGGCATCATGTTGCGCCGCGTCGCCCCTCCCGTCCATGACCGTGCCCAACGACCCTCCATACCTGCCGTTGCCCGCCGGCGAAATCGGCCTCCTCACCGATCTCTACGACTGACCATGGCCCAGTCCTATTTCGCCGAGGGCATCTCCGGCGAGGCCACGTTCAGTATGTACGTGCGCGAGTACCCGCCGGACCGGGGCTACCTGGTCGCCGCCGGCGTTGACGACGCTTTGGACTGTCTCGAAGCCCTGTCCTTCGACGCGGACAGCATCGATTACCTGCGCAGCACCGGCATCTTCACCACCGACTTTCTGTACTCCCTGCGTGATTTCCGCTTCACCGGCAGCGTCCGTGCCATACCCGAAGGTAGCCTGTTCTTCACCGATGAGCCGGTCCTGGAAATCACCGGCCCCATCATCGCCGCCCAACTGGCCGAAACCATCGTCATGAACCAGGTCCAGTACCAGACGCTGCTGGCCACCAAGTCCGCCCGCTGCGTTCAGGCCGCTCAGGGCCGGCCCATTGCGGATTTCGCCGCCCGCCGCACCCACGGAACCGAGGCCAGCCTGAAAATGGCTCGGGCTTCCTACATGGCCGGCTTTGGCGCCACCAGCAACGTCCTCGCCGCTCGTCGCTATGGCATCCCGCCCACCGGCACCATGGCGCACTCCTACGTGACCAGTTTCGACGCCGAGATCGACGCCTTCCGCGCCTACTCCCGCATGTTTCCCGACCGGAGCATCCTCCTGCTCGATACTTACGACACCGTGAACGGCGCACACGCCGCCGTCAAGGTAGCCCGCGAGATGGAAGCCGACGGCCAGCGTTTGACCGGCGTGCGCCTTGACTCCGGCGACTTCGACGCCCTCAGCCGCCAGGTTCGGCGCATCCTCGACGACGCCGGACTTGACTACGTCCGCCTCGTCGCCAGCGGCGGCCTCGACGAGTACCGGATCGAAAGCCTTGTCACCGCCGGCGCGCCCATCGACATGTTCGGCGTGGGCACCCGGGTTGGCGTGTCGGCCGACGCTCCCTCCTGCGACATGGTCTACAAGATGGTCAGCTACGATGTCCGGCCGGTGATGAAACTCAGCGAGGGCAAGGAGTCCCTGCCCGGCGCCAAGCAGGTCTTTCGCCGGTTCGACCGGCAAGGCATGATGTCGGGAGACGTCATCAGCCTGGAAGCCGAAACCGGCCCGCCGGGAGAGCCGCTGTTGGCTCCCGCGATGCGAGACGGTCGCCGTACCACGCCGCCGAGTTCGATCGGCGACGCCCGCCAGCGCGTGGCGGATGGACTTTCCTGGCTTCCCGAGGAGCACCGGCGCCTGCGCCAGCCCAACCACTTCCCAGTATCCATCAGCGAAGATCTCGAACGCCTGGAATCCCAGATCCGCGGTCGCTTGACCGCCGCGCTCTCTTTATAATCCGTCAAGGAGCCCAAATTCGATGAAAATCGCGGTCTGCGTCAAGTTCGTCCCCGTGGTGTCGCGCATTGAGTTCGACTACGAAAACAAGGTCATCCAACGCGAAGGTGTCCCGTCTGAAATCAACCCCTTCGATCTGTTGGGCATCAACATGGCAGTCGACCTCAAAGCCGGCGCCGACGACACGGTCATCGCCCTGTCCATGGGCCCGCCCAACGCCGCCGAGGGTCTCACTCAGTGCTACGCGTTGGGGGCCGACCGCGGCATACTCCTTTCCGACCGCGCCCTGGCTGGCAGCGACACCCTCGCCACCGCGCAAGCCCTGGCCCTGGCCCTCCAGCGCGAATCCCCGGACCTGATCGTTTGCGGCCGCAACAGCAGCGATGCCGAGACCGGCCAGGTCGGACCCGAGGTTGCCGAGATCATGGGGCTGCCCCACATCAGCAACGTCCGCAAGCTGGAAATCGACCGTGCCGACAATCGCATCGTCGCCGAACGCGCCACCGACGAAGGCTACCAGGTTATCGCGTGCCCGCTGCCTGCCGTCGTCTGCGTCACCGAAGGGGCGGGCCAGGAACGATATCCCGGCCGCGACGAGATGACCGAGGCCCAGGAACGCGGCATCGAGCAACTTACCTGCGCCGACCTAACCGACGACCTCTCCTTGTTCGGGCTCGACGGATCCCCCACCTGGGTCGAGGATATTCGCCTAGTCGAACCCGACCGTCTCGCCGTCATGATCCGCGACGAGACTCCTGAGGACGCGGCCCGCCAGGTCGCCGACATGCTCCGCGACCGGCTGGCTACCCTGTCCTCCGCGGCAGGGTCCAGACACCGGAAACGCCGCATCGCCCCGCCACAACGGCGGCGACCGCAGCATCTGGGTCGTCGCCGAGTTAGCGGCGGACGGCGTACGCCAGGTCACCCTGGAGATGCTCGGCAAAGCCCGCGCCCTCACCCCGATCACCCGGAGCGAAGTCGTCGCCATCGTCATCCAGCACGGCGGTCCGTCGTCGGATTTGACCACTCAACTAGCCGAGGCCGGCGCCGACCGCATTCTTACTCTCGATACCACCGACCTCGGTGTCCTTTGCGGTCGCGGCGTGTCTGCGGCCCTGTCCGACGCCATCGCCGACCAGCCACCGTATGCCATTCTGTTCGCTGCTACGGCCGATGGCCGCGATCTGGCCGCCGCGCATTGCCGCCCGCCAGCGGCTCGGCCTCACCGGCGACGCCATCGACCTCGAAATCAACGACGCCGGCCAACTCGTTCAACTCAAGCCGGCCCTCGGCGGCAACGTCGTCGCTCCAATCCTGTCGAAGACACTCCCCAACCTGGTTACCTTGCGCCCCGGTGTGCTCACCCCCGGTCCGGCGGAGTCAAACGTCAACCCGGTCATCGAGGTCATCCCGGCCACGCCATCCGGCGACGTTGACGTAACCCTCGTCAGCGAGCATTTCTCCGAAGAGCACGGCGCGCTCGAACTGACCTCTGCCGAGGTCGTCGTCGGCCTCGGCATGGGCATCGGCGAGGAAAGCGTCGCCGCCGCCCAACAACTGGCGTCCAGCATCGGCGCCTCCATCGCCACCACCCGTAACGTCGTGCACTCCGGTTGGCTCCCCCACCACATCAGGTCGGCATCAGCGGCCGTACCATCGCCCCACAGGTGTACCTGGCCGTCGGAATACGTGGCGCCTTCAACCACACCGTGGGCATCCAGAAAGCTGGCGTCATCCTCGCCATCAACCGCAACCACCGCGCCGCCATCTTCCGCGCCGCCGATTACGGCATTGTGGGCGACTGGAACGAGTACCTCCCTCCCCTCGTCGAGGCCATCCGGCCCGTCCTGGCCGAGTACGGCCTGGCCTGAAACCGCCCGGTGTGAACCGTCCATCGACAACGCCGGTGTCTGGCAACCAGATACCTGACCAAGCGGCGCATTCAGCAGGTTAACGGCCTGCCGACGGCATCGCAACGACCCGCACCGCGGCAAATCTCAGCGGACCAACGCTGACGCGATCAAATCCTTCGGCGCCCCTCTGCGTTCTGACCAATAGCGGGCCGAGACCGGCAGCCGCAATTCGCCGCTCCCGGGGTGAATGGTGCGCTTCCCGGTAATTCCCCGCCGCCACGGGTTCCTGCGTCACGCCCTGCGGTGCTGGCCCGATATGTTCTAATTGAGCCGGTCCGGCAGCGGCTCGCGCCGAGCGCATGGCGTACAATCAACCGCCATGCGCGCCCAATCCGACACCGACGCGCCGGCAGTGCCAGGTCGGATAACATGGCGCACCCTCCTGCTGGGAGCCGCCGCCGCCCTGGGGATGGTCCTCGCATCCCTCGATTTCGCCGTCAACGTGGGTTTACCGGCGATGCGCGACGCCTTCAATACGGACCTCGCCTCCGTCCAATGGGTGATCGTCGTGTTCATCGCCACCAGGGCCGGCCTCGCCCTGGGTGCCGGAGCCTTCGCTGACCGTTTCGGACTCAGGCAGGTTTACCTGTTCGGCACGATCACCTACCTCGTTTCCATGGTCTGCCTCTCACTATCCCCGACCTTGGAAGTGCTGGTCGGCTTCCGCGTCCTGCAAGCCCTGGGGACCGGCTGCCTCTACAGCACCGCCCCGGCCATTGCCGCGTCGGTATTTCCCGAGCGTCGCCGCGGCCTCTCCATGGGATTCACGTCAGCCAGCCTTGCCCTCGGCATGGTCACCTCCACCCTGGCGGCCGGACCCTTGGTGCACCTGTTCGACTGGCCCGCCGTGTTCGCCGGCCGCCTGCCCCTGGCGGCTCTGGCCCTTGGCGTAGGTCTGTTCTCGATCCCGCGTTCGTTGGGTTCACCCACTGCTACCAGTTCCAGGCCGAGATTCGACCTGGCCGGCTCCGCCCTGGTCCTCTCGCTCCTGCTCTGCCTGATGATCGGTTTGCGCCTGGGCCAGGCCATCGGCTGGACTTCTCTGCCCGTACTTGCGCTGCTCGCCGCCTCCCCGCCGATCCTCATTGTGTTGATCCGCGTCGAGCGAGCCGCGGCGTCGCCGGTGTTACCCGGCGCTCTGGTCCGGCTGTCCGGATTCCAGACCGCAACTGGCGCAATGTTCCTCGGACACTTTTCACAGTTCGTCATCTGGTTCATCTTCCCGTTCTACATCACGGACGCGCTGGGCCTTGGACCGGTCACCCTCGGCGTCATGCTGGCCGTTATGTCAACGTGCAACATCGCCTCGGCGCCAGTAGGCGGATGGCTCTGCGACCGCTGGGGCGTCCGCCCGGTCGGCGCTGCCGGCCTGGTTATGTCCGCCATCGGCCTGTCCGCCATGTCTATGCTGGACGCCAACTCGGCCATCTGGCACCCGGCCGTCGGCATCGCCCTCGTGGGCCTCGGCGTGGGCTGGTACCAGTCCGCCGCGTACGCCCTCATGCTGGGCACCGTCCCGACCGAGCGCTACGGCACGGCCTCAGGCGCCATGTCCCTCGCCCAGGCTTCCGGGACCGTGCTCTGTGTGGCCATAGTGGGCGCGGTTTTCTCGGCGTTGAACGACCACTACGCCGGCAGCCGTCCCGACGTGGAAGCTTTCCTGTTGGCGTACCGGGATGTGTTCCGGATCGGCGCGGTAACTGCCGCCATCGCCGCGGTTATCTTCGGATTGCGCGCCCGCCAGCCTCACCCGAGCACGTAGCGAGGCCATCGCCCGACCCGGTCACCTTTCGTTCGCCACCAGCGCGTCCCGGAATATCTCCACGCAGTTCTCCCGCGAATAACCCAGAGCGTACTCCCGCACCCGCTCGCGGCCACACTCCAACGCCCGATCCACCGCCGCGTCCAGTTCCTCTGTCATCGCACTGGAGACACCATCGGCGATCACGTCTATCCGCCCGGTGACCGGGTACGCGGCCACCGGCGTCCCGCCGGCCATGCTCTCGGTGATCACGTTCCCAAACGTGTCGGTCCGGCTCGTAAACACCATCACGTCCGCCGACGCATAGTACCGCGCCAGCTCCGGGCCACGCTTGAAACCGACGAACGTGACCCGGTCGCTGTACCGGGGTTCCAGTTCTTCTCGGTGCAGCCCGTCCCCGACCACCCAGCAACTGTAATCGGCCCGCTGCGCCTGCTCGCGGAAATCGCCGATGCTTTTATCCTTGCTCGCCCGCCCCACGTACGCGAGCACCGTCTGGGCAGTGTCTTCTCGCTGGTACCAGTCTTCGCTGCGCCGCGCCGGATGGAACAACTCGGAGTCCACGATGCGCGGCCATACCAACAGGTTCTTGAAACCCGACTCCACAGATCGTCCCGTATGCTTGGCGTCGGAACCAGAGTGCGTTCCGCTTCCCCGCGAACCATCGCATGTAGCGGGTCACCGGGCTGGAACGCAATCCGTACATTTCCTTCACGTATTCCGGAAACCTCGTGTGGTAGCTGGACGTGAACCGGATACCTCGTCGCCAGCACCAGAAACGCGCGATAGTACCCAGCGGCCCTGCCGAGGCAGTGTGCACGTAGTACGGGTCTAGTGTCATGTATCTAAAGTACGCCTGCAAAAACTGGCGACCTTGGCCAGGATCTGGTCGGCGGTCTTGGTCCAGATAAAGGGCTTGGGGTTTTCGTTGGTAAGGTCAAGATAGCGGTAGATGGCGGCTTCCAGTGCCCCGCTGCTCTGATGCACCCCTCGCCGTAGCTGCTTCTCGGTCAGCATCCCGAACCACCGCTCCACCAGGTTCAGCCAGGATGCGCTGGTCGGCGTGAAGTGCAGGTGGAACCGTGGCCGCTTGGCTAACCAGTTCCGGATCAGCGCCGTCTTGTGGGTGGCGTAGTTGTCCACGATGAGATGGACGTCCAGGTCAAGGGGCACTTCGGCCTCAATGGTATCGAGGAACTTGCGGAACTCCACGGCCCGGTGGCGTCGGTGGCATTGGCCGATCACCTTACCGGTTTTGGCATCCAGCGCGGCGAACAACGACGTGGTGCCGTGGCGCAGGTAATCATGGGTGCGCCGTTCCGCCG